TTATAGTCTGTTATCTGAGGGGAAAAAGTACACCTGAATATGTTTGACTGTATTTTTATGAAGCATATACTACACAGTCAATGTGTAGATCTTGTAGATAATTGGCTTATTCCAATGCAACATCTGGTCAGCTACAAGAACTGGACAAAAATAGTACACAAATACCCATTCTCTCACAAAGAGAATCAAAAAGTCATTTGCAATGAAAATTGAGCATCATAGTAGTTTCCTGTTTGATTTCCTACCTATGCCAGAAAGGTTGGAAATTTAAGAACATCTGAAGATTAAAACTGAATTGAATATAAAAAAATTTTCTCAAATACTAGCACTCTTTGGACCTGCTAAGAATCATCATTCATTTTGGCCACTTTCACAATAATTAAATATACATTATACAAATGACTAAAGTATTGCACCTATATAATAATTAGCATATGTTTGTCTATGCTGGTACTGCAAGTCGACTGGTTCTTTACTTGCATTTGGAGATTTCTGGTTAAATAGAATATTCCCAGTTCTGTTTTGGTGCTGTTACTACTGATGGGATTATATCTTTGTAAATTTTCTGCAATTGATATAATTTTGACGACTTCTTGCACAATGTTTAATCTGTTTATCTATTCACCATTGTTTTTTTTTTTGTATTGATTTTATTTTCTTCTTGCAGTTGGCAATGTTTTTTCTTTGCATTGCTTTAGTATATGTTTGTAAATTTATTGATTTCAGAAGGATCACAGGTTTCATTGCAGTGTGTGTGAAAAGAGTTTTATCCAAAAATGTGACCTCACTCGCCATATGCACATTCACAGTGGCACAGAACCCCACCGCTGTAGTCAGTGTGGAAAGGGTTACATTCGGCACAGTGATCTTGTAACTCACCAGAGATTCCACAATAAAGAAAAACCATTTATCTGCTCTCATTGTCATAAAGGTTTTTCGCAACGAGGTAAGAATTTATTAATAAAATCTTTTTTGGGGTTTTACATGTAAGTGCTTATTAGTTGTATACAAAATTATGATATATTGTGGAAAGTAGATTGCTAATTCTACAAGTAAAAGTAGTTAACAGTACATGCAAAAAGCATAATTCCTTCAGTTGTGACTGGATACATAATTTTAACCATATCTACATATTAAAACAAATTAGTATAAAGAACACTTTATGGCTGCATCCTTTTTATTGGTTGTGGATACTGCCCATAAGTTTTGAAACCAAAGATGTGCAAACAATTTTATATCTGGAACACTATGATCGCATGGTTGTAGTTATGGCCCAAACATTTAGTGTCCTGATGTGCAGACTACCTAGCCACAATAACTGATCAAAGAAGCCACCAGTGCCTCCCATGGACATCTCATTGAATAGAATACTGCTTGAGAGCTTAATAATGTCATAATTTTCATCTTCAGTTGGAATTAATCATGCTACAAGAATTTATTGTTTACTTTTTAATTATTGAGAAAGCGATGTTCTTCTGATAATAAGAAATTTGTCAGAATCTTCAGAAACTGCAGTGATCTCTTTTATCATCACACAAGATTACTTTCTTAAATATTTAGGAAGTTCATTAGCATGTTAGTTTCCATAATATAAAAGATAATTAAGCCCTTTGGCTACAGATGTTCTTTTTTTTTCCTACTTGAATTTTTAACTCTGAAATTATTCATTATCCTCCTCTTTATACATTTTTAATCCTATTTTTTTATAGTTAAGTAGTGAACCTCAAGTTTTAAGGAAGCTTAGTGAAATAATTTATTGTAATGCACGATATGTTTACCATTTTGTGCATTACAGTTGTGTGATAAAAAATGATGTCGTTTATCAACTGAAAAACCCAATGCTGAAGGAAGTTAAAAAAAAAAGATTACTTA